TAACATTCCTGACTGCCCGACAGACGGTAGCCTTGGAAACGTGCTGAGCTTCACCAATATTATACAGAAAGCTCCCGTTTGCAAAAAACCAAAGTGCAATACAAATAATATGTACAGAACTGAGAGAATGTCCGCGATGTGTCACATGAGCAATATTAGGCCTGAGGATGTTATTCAAATAAATTATAGATTGTGCTGAAAAACGGTAACGTTCACACAGGAAATCATCAGGAAATGATAAAATGTCCATACGCGCTCTGATCACTCTCTCCCGGCGGAGAGCTCTGTGGAGAATTTGTGCTTCAACATCTACTGGCTCTTCAAGGAAGGGACACGCCATGTCTGACACTTCCTACAGTCAGGTTTCCGACAAAGAGGCGGAGAAGGTCAGGGTTAGTTGAAGTAAACCTGCTAGGGGGCAGGTTAGCTTCACGGAGTCTGTCGTCATAATAACTCACTCAGAATTAATCTAAACTCGCTTTGTGAAACCGAAAACCCAGAGTTTTCGTTAACTCAGTGTATACTTATTCAGATTTTGCACTAAACCGGCTTCCTGAAATAGGGCCCTGGACATGAACCTCCGAAACAAGGCGTAGAGAACATGATGTGAACAACAGACAACCTGACAAAGAATGAACAGAAACACACAGACCAAATACACACAAGGGTGATTAGGGGGAAGTGGAAACACATGGGGAAACAGCTGACACTAATCTGACATAACGAGACAAAGGAAGCAAAGCTGACTACACTGACATAGGACACAGACCTTCAAAATAAAAGAGGAAATGAGATGCAGACTAGACAATATAAACTTGACAACATAAGACACGTAGCATGAAACCGGGAAAGGGAAACTTAAATACAGGGGTAGAAAACACAGAGACACTAATAAACAAATAAGATAAGATAAGATAAGATAACCTTTATTAGTCCCACACGTGGGAAATTTGTTTTGTCACAGCAGGAGTGGACAGTGCAAAAGTTATGAGGCAAAAATTAGAATACAATAAGAATAAATACAGTACACAACTGTACAGAATAGAATAAAATAAAATACTATATACAGTAGAATAAAATAAAATAAATATACAATAAGATAAAAATAGAATACAAATACAAATACTATATACAACTGAGTAAAAATACAACGATGACAGAAAGGATTATTGCACATGTATGGATGTGTGTGCTTGATCAGTTAAAGTCTAAATGAACTTAGCTACCCTAAAGAACACATAACATCCAAATAAACTAAACTCAAAACACTGGGTCAACAGATCCAGGAACATGACATTTATGTCTTTAAGACATTCCTGCAGTTTAACTATTTGGTGTGTGTTATCTGGCTTCATGGACAGATAGAGCTTGGTGTCATCAGCATAGCAGTGAAGATTTATGCTATATCTTCTAATGATGCTGCCTAGGGGAAGCATGTATAATATAAACAGAATTGGTCCTAGCACTGAACCCTGTGGAACACCATAATTGACCTTAATGTGTGAAGAGGACTCTCCATTTACATGAACAAATTGGAGTCTATTAGATAGATATGATACAAACCACTGCAGCGCAGTACCTGTAATACCTACAGCATGCTCTAATCACCCTAATAGGATATTATGGTCAACAGTATCAGACGCTGCACTGAGGTCTAGCAGGACAAGCACAGAGATGAGTCCACTGTCAGAGGCCATAAGAAGATCATTTGTAACCTTCACTAAAGCTGTTTCTGTGCTGTGATGAACTCTGAAACCTGACTGAAACTCTTCAAATAAGCCATTCCTCTGCAGATGATCTGTTAGCTGTTTGACAACTACTCTGCCGGTCGGAGCGGGCATGCTCCATTTTGCGTAACTATTTTTAAATCCCGGTAGCACTGCAACCACGTAAGCTAGCGCAATCATTTTTTTTGCCTATAAAACCGGAGGAGTTGTACTTACATCTTATGCCATCAGCTTGTCCTAGGTTACGGTTTCCTTCCACATATAGCTTTGCAAAAACTGCATAAAAACCACTTGCAGCAACAAAAACACAATATTCCAGAAACACGCTTTGCCATCCGATCAGCTGTTTGTAACACTTCCTACTCCATCAGCGCGAACTATCGCATGTCCACCATGACCTGCCCGTGGCGTCATTTTGCGGAAATGTAGTTTTTTACCATCAGGACCTTATGAGTCTATACTTGTGTTTTTAAAAGTTATGTTTTGACTTTATGACTTTCTGTGTCGTTTCTGGGATGCTTAGGACTCATATTGCACTGCTGGAAATAGTTTATTTCGATGCATATGCTGTTTTTTTTGCAAATTTGCATTATAATATTTATTTTCGTTTTTTCTGCAGTATATAAAAATTTATAAAACAATTTTCAATTTTTTTTGTAGTTTATTGCATTTATTGCAATTTATGTAATTACTATGCACTTAATGCATACATATTATTAAAACTTTGGCTATAATGGTTGTATTGATGTATATCAACTTGAAATGCTCCCAAAAATGGCACTACAAGATGTAAAAATATAATATAAGCTCTGGCGGACTTGGTTCTATGCTAGGTCTTAAAGGGTTAAAGGATGTTTGATATGAAAGGAAGGTTGGAGATCGGCCTATAATTAGCTAAGACAGCTGGGTCTGGGGATGGCTTTTTATGTAAAGGTTTAACTAGAGCCAGCTTCAAGGCCTGTGTTACATAGCTGATTATTAGAGATAAGTTGATCATATTTAAGATTGAAGCATTTATTAATGGCATGACTTCTATGAGCAGGTTTGTAGGAATGGTGTCTACAAGGCACGTTGATGGTTTAGAGCAGTGGTTCCCAAACTTTTTTTGCTAGGCCCCCCTTTGTTTTACAGGAAAAATGTTCGCGCCCCCCCCGCACATCCTCCAACCACACACACCCATTATTTTGCTCCATTGCAGTTTATTTCACACCTCACACATTTAGTAAACAATTAAGCAAATACAAGTAATCTGCAATAAATGACAGGTAGTAAGAAAACAAACTACTAACTCTTTTCCGCTACGTCCACACCTACACAGGTATTTTTGAAAACGCAGCTTTTTCGTCCACACGTAAACAGCGTTTTCAGTGGTTTTAGCATTTTCACTGATTACTGCACAGCTGGACAGAAAAGGCAAATTAAAAAAAAAAATCATTAAAACATAACGACAACGAGCAGAGTTACACTAATAGAGTGTAACTTTGTGGGAGTCTTTATTTGTGTGGAGTTCATTTGTTCAGTTGGAGGAGTAGAACAAGAAAAACTGGAAAAATTTACATACTGACAGGAGGGAGGAGTTCTTGTGGTTAGAATTTCAATGAAATCATTTGAATGTAGAGCATTAGTCCCTCCTCTGATGTAGTATAAGAGATCCTAACTTTCAATGCTCCTTGTTTTTTCCACCTTTTCAGAATCAGAGAAATTCCTGAAAGAATCACGGGAGGTAAGATAACATCAAATGACGGGAACACGCAAGCTAGACTTAGCTATAAATGAATGACTTGATGAACCTGATTGCTACTTACTGGGAATGGCTATAACTCAGGGGATAGCAGGTTATTTACTAATTGGGTGGTTAGTGGTTCATTCCCTGGCTGGCCCAAGTTATTCTCCACCCTACATTTCACCAGGGTGTAAATGTTAGACAGAATTCACTGAAGCATAGGAAAAAGTGCTCGTATCAATGGTTGAATGAGGTGTATTGTGTAAAGCGCTCGGACTACTCTAGTAGCAAAGGGTTATTTAAGAACAAGTCTAAATAAATCACCAAATTAAATATTTCACTAATTACGTTTTATTTACTTTAAAAACTGAAATTAGATTTTACCCTTTATATAAAAAAGTTATTATCATTTATTAAATGTTTAAAGTAAGTCCTTACTTTGGTTCTTTGTCACACCACTGCAGTCTGAATGCAGACATTTAAAAGAAGCTAACAAAGTCAAAATGGTTAAAGTTAAAAGCAAGTGAAAAACCAGCCATGTTCTGCTTGAAAATAACTGCAGAAAATGTGAGGCCACCTCATTACTTGAGGCCACCTTTGAAAAATGATGACAAAGTCTGGAATATAGGGAATTAAAAAGATAGAAATGATTGAGAGGTGGCTCTAGATTTTTGCACAGTGTTGCAATTTTGAATAACTGTACATCAGTGAATACCCTTACAATCACAAGCTGCAAGTGTGTGTTTATGTTACTATTTTTAAAATGCAAGTTTGTCATATTTGTCACTTATCATATCTGTTACTTATGGTTAAATGCTTTTCTTACATTTCAGTTCCACAGACCAAAGTTTGCTGATACTTAAGAAGATACAAGACATCTGTTTCCACTACACAATGAGAATTTATTTGGTGCAAGCCTGGCGATACCTAATTAAGGGTAAAACAAAGTTAAACATAGTACTGGTCAAATATAAGATGTGATAACATTTTATAATACAGGTGGCAACACATCATAGCTTTACATCATCTGTCATGTGTTTCTGTTCAATTTAGGGTGCAATTATAAGTAATTCCAAATAAATATTTAATTGATTTGTACCTTTGATTTATTCTAAATTACAGAAAAAAAGTTATATTATGAAGAAGTGTGCTCCCTTCAAAAGCATACACAAACCGAGTTTTGCCTTCTCTTGTTTTACTTAAACAGAATTATTTGGATTATTATTAATATTATTATTTGGAGGTAAAGTTAAGGTACTTTAACTGCTAATAAATAGGGCAGTGAAGGTGATAACTGCCACGGTCCAGTGTCGGTAACAGAGTTTGTTTTTTTAGTTTGGTTTTTGTGTTCCCTCTGTTTACTGTCTGAACCATGTCTCCATACATTTCCGGTTTTATTGTGAAGGTCCGTGTCTCATGTGAGTGTATTCTGTTTCACTTCCTTGTCTCGTCTTTCCCAATCAGTCCCAGCTGTGTTGCCACCTGTTCCTCGTTCCCTCTTGTGACTGCCTGCGTATTTATAGTGTGTATCATCTGCTCATCGCTGGTTTGTCTGTGCATTTTCCTGTGTGGGTTCCCCGAGTCTCCCTGCAGCTCCCTTTCAAATCTATTGTATTTAGTTGTCTCCAGTTTAGGTATCCTCAGGTTCTGTTTCATGCCCACTGCGTGTCTGTTTATTTCACCTCCCCAATAAAACTCCCTTGCATCTGAAAGCAGCCTGCATTTTGGGTCCTTCGTTAAATTCCTCACTGTTTGCCCCACGAGCCGTGACAATAACTTTCTTATTTTTTGCAGACTGGAGACAGCTGGGATCAACTGGCCATTCCAGAAGAATGATTACCAGGCTGCTGAACGCTGCCTACCGAAGCCCTATGCAGCGTCTAAGAACTCGTCCACAAACTCTATCCGGTCCAGTGACTTTGTTGGGTTTGATGTGGCTCAGGGGTCGCTTCATTTCGTGGGTCCCTGTCGCCAATGGAGAGTCTTCTTTAGGCTGGTTCATATCATGGTGGGTAACACAAGTTTTCACATTTTTTTTAAAAAGTAAGAAAACTATTGCTGTATTCTTTTTTTTTTTTTTTTTTAAACTGTCACCACAGAATTAAACACAATTCTTGTAACTTCTAAAACAAAATCGATTGCTCAAACACAAGCAATTGTGGGAACATAATTCCAAATAATTACAGTGCAAATATTAACTTTTTCTTTTTAGGTTTTTTATTACTCCTTCCAAGTACTCAGATATCATCTCCAACAGTGATCTGAAATCTAAAGGACCTCCTGTTGTCTACCAACTGAGACCAAAGAAAGAGAAGTTTGGGAGTCTGACAAGAATGACTGTTGGGGAAAAAAACCCAAAAAAGCCAAATAAAACCATCTTACTCGTGGGTGAAACGGGAGCAGGAAAATCTACTTTGATCAACGCTCTAGTCAACTTCACCATGGGGGTTCAGTTTGAGGATGGAGTCTGGTTTCAGATTATAGATGAGGAGAAGAGAAGTCAGACAGAAAGTCAGACATCAGATGTGATCGTGTATGACATCTTTGGTTTTGAAGATAAAACTCTGCCCTACTCTCTGACCTACTCTCTGACCATCATTGATACTCCTGGATATGGAGACACCAGAGGTACTGAAATGGATGATAGCATCAGTGAAAGACTATTAGACTTGTTTCAATCAGAGGATGGAGTTAACAAAATTCATGCAGTGGGTCTGGTGATGAAGGCAAGTGAGAATCGTCTGACTGACCGACAGAAGTACATCTTTGATTCAGTGGTGTCTTTGTTTGGAAAAGACCTGGAGAAAAGCATTGTTGCTCTCATCACACACTCAGATGGAGTAACACCTAAAAATGCTCTCAAAGCTCTCGAAATTGCAAAAATTGAATGTCCAAGAAATGGAAATAATGAGCCTGTTCACTTCCTGTTTAATAACCAACAGAGAAAAGAGAGAACAGAAAAAAATGAATCTTGTTTGGAGACAGCATGGAGAACAACAGAGAGAGGAATGGATGAGCTCGCAGCTTTTCTAGAAAAAACTGCACCTGAAAAGTTGGTGGTAACAACTGAAGTGTTACGTGAACGCAACAGACTGAAAGCCTGCATACAAAACTTGAAAGAGAGAATAAATGAAGTTGAACTCAAGCAAACCGAAGCCAGACAGAGACAAGAAGTGTTAGAGAAACATAAAAAAGAGATGCAAAACAATGAAAATTTCTCTGTCGAAGTTCTGGAGATTTACAAAGAGAAAGAATATATAAAATCTGGGTGGTGGGGTTTGGTGTTTTATAGTGGTACTGTCTGCTGTACAAACTGTCAGGAGAACTGTCACTTGGATTGCAGAATGGCCTGGTATCCTGGACAGTGTGATGTCATGAAAGGAGGCTACTGCACTTCTTGCACCAGGAAGTGTCGTGCATCAGATCATGTGAAAGAAAATTGGAGATATGTGCAGAAAACAAGGAAAGTCTGGCAGACATCAGAAGACATGAAAAAGAAGTATGAAAAAAATAAGTCTGAAAGTCAAAAGCAGATGAGCCTTCTGGAACACCTTCAAGAGGAAATAAGCCAACTGGCAGCAAAGAAGTCACAGTTACTTGGTGAGTGCTACCAACGACTTGTCACACTGGAGCAGATCGCTCTGAAAGCTGGTTCAGCATCCACTTTTGTCCACTTGGACTTCCTGATTGAGAAGATGAAGGAGGAACAAAACACAGAGAAGGTCCAGAAACTGGAGGAAATGAGAAAGAGAGTGGATGAAGGAACCAGAGTAGGGTCATTGTATATGCAGGGAAAAAACTAGAGAAGTGGAAAAAGTGGGGTTAGGGGTAGGAATGGATGACTGAGCCTTTGTCCAGACAGAGACAGGAGAGGCGGAGTCCATCCCCCAAACGGGTTGCCCTGTTTGACCCCGGAAAAAGTTTTGGGAAAGGTTCTTCCTACTGTGTTCTATTCTGCTCATTTTCTTCCGATGAGCCGTGTTTTTGTTTTTTGGGGGGGGTTTTTATAAATTTTTTTGTGTAGTTTTTTTTTTGTTCCCTGTTGGGTTTGTTATTCCCGAAGGAAACCCACCCTGCTGGTTGTCACGATTACCGGAAAGCCTGCTGACACCATTGGGTCCTCAGTCTTTGGTTAATTTTTGCGTTTGTGTTGTGTTTTATGTTTTGTATATTGTTGTAGTTTTTGTGATTTGGGTTCGCCTTTATCTAAGTAATTATAACTCTTATATGAGCTTTTATGAGGCGAGAAATAAATATAGAAAATAAAAAGAAAGAAAAAATTTTTAAAAAGTTTTATTTAATTAATTATTAAGATCAAGAAAATGGTGTGCCGTACACGCAATGATTCGACCCTTCAAGGTTCTTCTTCAGGCGCTTGGCACACAAAGAAACTGCTGACAAAAATGTGGCTGTAATGCACAGTTCTGTGGCTGGTAAGAGATGTTCACTCTTCAACGCTCCAAATCCGAATGAGCTCCTGGCTGACTCCACCTCCCTTTATACTGACTGTGTGTGTTTTTTATGTTTTGTCAATCCATTTCCAATTCTCCTTTTGTAAAACGTGTATTAACCTTCTGCATGTGAATCCTTTTTACCATTACCCTTAAATATGAACTCTAAACATTTTACAATACACTGTTTTTAATATTTAATCTTTTTAACTGTATTTGTTTCTTGTGAAATGATGTCATGAAATAACACTGTTTTTAATGTTTTACGTGATTCCACGTTTTTTTTATTCTAAACATCATTTTTTATCAAATAAAATTTTTTTAATCAATTTTTATGATGTAAATAATGTCCATGTCCAATTGTAATTAACTGTAAATATTAGGATGAGGGTTTTGTATTATGGCCCCCAGGTTAAGATTAGAATTAGGATGAGGGAGGGGTTAGGGGAAATCAAATTTGGGAGTCAGGGTTACTTTGGAGCACTTTTTTGCCACATGTATTGCAAACCACGTCTCAGCTGTTTGTGGAGGTAAAATAAGTCTGCACATGACTAAAATTACGCTCAGCCATTGTTGTGAGTGCACACACCAAGGGGCTGCGAGACATTTATACAGCCGTATTTCGCACATGACTATGAAAGGCGGAAGAGAAAGTTGTTCCTTTGAATGTAGACAATCCGAATGTTATAGTTTCTTTCCACTGTGTTCCTGTTAATGAACTACAAATTTACTCTAAATTACTAAAATATCGATATTCTAATGTGAGAATCGAGTCAGACTCTTAAAGATTAGTAGTTAATTAAAGGTAGTCATTAAAAGTAACAAATGATCTTTATGCCACAGACAAGGGAGACATTAATAAAGCTCTCACAGCCCTACCTTATGCTTATTATCCATACTGGACTTTGGATGCCTTTTTTAAAAAACATTATTTTTTGTCTCTGTCTTGATTATTAAATTTTCCACTTTCTTTAAGTTGTTTAGAATGGACTGAAATTTACAAAGCTTGTCTCAGTAACCACTCAAAGTCCTTTACACTACAAGCCAAATCCAACTTTTTTCACATATTCATCTAGGTCTCCATTCAGTATCTAATTAGCATCTACAACTAGGACCAATTTAGAAATACCAGTTATTCAAAATTGCAGAACAAATCCCATGTAGCCACAAAGAAAAAACACGAAAGCCACATAGAGACACCAGGAAAGTGAGGTGACAGTGTTCACCACTACACCACCATGACGCTTTGGTTATATCCATGGGAATTTGTTTTATTTCAACATAAACACATTATGTTCTAAAATTAGCAATTAATTATTTATTAATTAATAATTAATGTTTTTTTCTATAAGTAACTGGTGGTTGTTTGATGACCACTCAGCTCTGACTGAAGCGTCCTGTTGATTTACCATCACATTAATGTTCTTACTTTCTGTGGACAATTCGTCATACACAGACTTCAGAATTAGTCCAAGAATGTCACGGTACTGGACCATGAGGCCCAGGGTTTAAGTTCTAATGCACATTTTTGTATCCACATGTGTAGTTTAACGCATCTAGTTGTTTTCTAGTTTGCAGTTTAGTCCTTGGTTTCTTAGTCCCTTTTGTCATCTCTCCTTGGTCCGTGTGTCTACCTGTCATGTTTCATGTCTCTGGTTAGGTTAAGTTCATGTTCTATCTCCATGTCTCTGTGTTTCCTGTTTTATTTTGAAAGAGTCTTCTGTTCTTTGTTCATTGTAGTTAGTGTTACTCTCCCCTGTATTGTCATTATGTTTCCTTCTAGTCAGCTGTGTTCTCATGTGTCTCCACTTCCCCTGATCACCTCATGTGTGTATTTAAGTCCTCAGTCTTCCTTTGTTCGTCGCCGCGTCGTCTATTCAACTCCCCCCCATGTTACGGCAGGTTACAGGACTCTGTGCTGGTCATGTCCATGTTGCTTCCGTGTATACGTTTCATAGTTCTTTGTTGTTCCAGCACAGAGTCCTGGGCCCTATTTCAGGAAGCCGGTTTAGAGCAAAATCTGAGTAAGTATACCCTGAGTTAACGAAAACTCTGGTTTTTCGGTTTCACAAAGCGAGTTCAGCTGAAGCCTGAGTGAGTCACTATGACGACACACTCCGTGAAGCTAACCTGCCCCCTAGCAGGTTTACTACAACTAACCCTGACCTTCTCCGCCTCTTTGTCGGAAACCTGACAGTAGGAAGTGTCAGACATGGCGTGCTCCTTCCTTGAAGAGCCAGTAGATCTTGAAGCCCAAATTCTCCGCAGAGCTCTCCGCCGGGAGAGAGTGATCAGAGCGCGTATGGACATTTTATCATTACCTGATGATTTCCTGTGCGAACGTTACCGTTTCTCAGCACAATCTATAACTTATTTGGATAACATCCTCAGGCCATATATTGCGCATGTGACACATCGCGGACATGCGCTCAGTCCATTACATATTCTTTGTACTGCACTCCGTTTCTTTGCAAACGGGAGCTTTCTGTACAATATTGGTGACGCTGAGCACGTTTCCAAGGCTACCGTCTGTCGGGCAGTCAGGAATGTTACAGTAGCACTGAAACGTCTCCTGCACTCGTTTGTGGTGTTCCCCGGTCACAGACCCACAAGATTCATCAAAGAGGGATTCCACAAAATTTCAGGTATCAGGATGAACAAAACTCAATGCATGATGTGGTGATACGTGAACTACCACTCAAATGGTACATAAATTTCCAGGGTTCCCAGGCGTGATTGGCTGTATAGATGGCACCCACATCCCAATCATTGCACCCTCAGCAAATGAAGGAGACTATGTGAACAGGAAGTCCTTCCACAGCATCAATGTACAGGTACATAATTCCCTGTAGCATTTCACACCAACAAGTGATGGCATCATGGTAATGGATGCCAATATGTGTTCTCTGCACTGTGTAGATCATATGTGATGCTGCCAACATCATCACAAATGTGGAAGCCAAGTGGCCAGGCTCTGTACATGACTCACGAATCTTCCGGGAATGTACACTGAGCACCAAATTTGGACATGGTGGGTCGAAGTAACTGTGAAATATACAGAGACCAATTGCCACAGGGACGTTTGCACTGACATGTATTCTTCTGTCCTAGGAGAGTTCACTGGCCACCTGCTTGGTGATAGGGGGTACCCATGTCTACCCTATTTTCTCACCCCTTACCCTGACCCTGAACCGGGCCCACAGCAGCGTTATAATCTGGCCCATTGCAGGACACGGGCCAGAGTTGAAATGACCATCGGAATGCTCAAGGCCCGGTTCCAGTGCCTTTGTAGACTCAGGGTCACCCCAGAAAGGGCATGTGACATCATTGTGGCATGTGTGATCCTACACAACATTGCCACAATTAGAGGTGAACACTGTCCAGCTGAACCAGACATCAGCAGTGATCCACACGATGAACATCCTGACCCACCCACGAACGTACAGGATGGAAGAGCAGTCAGAGACACCATATGCCACAACCATTTCCTGTGACCCATCACCCCAACATGTTACATGACAAATACACAGATACTGTGGTCAACTGGCTTTATTGGTCACCCTGTATGTCCTGTACACAAAGTATAAATGCGTATATTAGTATGTTGTACAAACACTGACATGATTCGTCCATCTATGATCACTCCACGCACCCTTAACTGTTGTTCCAGCAGTACAATCTCCAGCTTCGACTTTTGGATCTGCAGCTGGAGGTGCACCATTTCCATGTCGCACTTCTGTATCTTCCTGGCCAGATATGTCTTATACAGCTGCTTTACAGGGAGCTATTGCAACAAAGGACATAGCATTGGCATCCATAGTACATGCCTACTTAGGTTGGTTGTAAATCAGTGCTGAACATCCTACTGTGGAAAGGTTCGTTGTAGGAGTGGCTGGACCCTCTTCCTCTTCATTTCCAGCATCACTCTGCCGGGGACATAGTAAGTCCATGGTGTCATCATAGTACCACATTGTCGTCAGTTGTTATATTTTCCACTGTACACTGTATACCTCATAGTGTGGCTCTGTTGCGGCCTCCTCTGTAGCAGCTGTCACTGTTTCGTCATCATATGCCTGTGGTGGAGACATTTAACAACATTGCTGTTCTACTGTTGACACATGTAGTCTGTGGAGTATTACGAGTACTCACGACTGCATGTCGGTCTGGCTCAACAGGGGGCTGCACCAGATGCAGTACACCATCACCATCAACTGGAAGTATATGGGGTTCATACAGGTCACTCATGACTTATGTGGGCGCCAATGGCAATTACCAGACATACCAATCACCATACACCTCATTGTCAGTATGCTCTCAGAGACAACCGACACTGAGGGAAGGCAAAATCAGTAGGTGTCAGGGTGGAAACGCTTTTATGAGCTTTATGTTGCATTAAGGTATATGTTCATATGTTACTCTTATTGGGAAAAGTACGAAATGTACTACTTGCTCTGTCTCTGGGAACAGGGAGCTCACCCTGTGAGAGGTTAACACACACACACACATGTATGCAAAATTAAAGGACACTGCTATGCTCTTCATAAAGACGTACCACTGCAGCTCGGTGTGTGTGAGTCTCTCCCTGGGCCCTCACCCGTGCAGCACGTTAACAGTTTCCAAGTGTCTCAGTGTTGTTTATTCACCTGACTGTTTGATAACTGTCATTCTCTGACAGTAGGACAATAACTTCACTACGACATAGTTCATTTTGGTCAAGGTGACTGTGCAGAATGGATGTATGCACGCCATGTATTGTTTTGGATTTACCCCTTATGTAGGCACTTGTGTCTTGTGGGGTTATTGCCACAGAGGATGTGCCTCTGCATTATAATCAGAATCAGAAAGGGGTTTTATTGCCAAATGTTGAGCAGGTTGCTGCGGTACTTGCGAAACATATTGTAAGACAAACACTTACATAAACATAAAAATTTAAATTAAAAGTGCTAAGCAGATTGATATATAAATGTATGCACACACAGAGTCATGTGTTTGTTGTGGGAACAGTACTTATGGTTATTGTTCATGAGTCCAACAGCAGCGGGACGAAATTGTTGTTATGGCGAGAGGTTCTTCAGCTGAAGGCAGCCGAAGAAACATGTATTCTGTAAAAATGAATAGTTTACTCATTCTTTGACAAACAGAAGAATGTTTCCTTGCCCCTTCGCTTAAGCTTTTAGAAACAATAATTGTATAACATCTTGTGGTTTACTGTTCAAATTATGGGGAAGTGATTGGGTGTGGCGGGGTCCTCTCCTAAACTTCTCCCAAACAAATGCAGGTGCACAAAAGATTATTTACATAGAAAATAAACAACTGACTTAATTCAAAACAAAACAAACATCTATATATGTAAACAAAACAAGCGGCTGAGCCAGTCTGCGTGTTACCCTCACTGTAACATCTCACAGAATGCCCCCGGTAGGCCCTGACTAGTGATGTTCGATTCGTGAACGAATCGTTCAATACTTGAGAATCACTTTACTGACTGACTCACTGACTCATCCCTGTTGCTGTTAGCAAACTAATTCCATTAGTAGAACTATATCTAGCTTATAATTAAAATTGTGGGGGGGAAACAACAGACAGATTCTTAACAAAAGCATTTCTGCTCTGAACTGGAAGAAAAAACCCTGAGTAGAAGCTCACATCAAGACAATAGCTCCTCAGTTCACAGTAGCATCGCTCAGCTAACATGCTAACAGCACATTTGAGTTACTCACCCCCTCCCTTGCTGTGCTCAATCGTAGCGAATCACTCAGGACTCACTAACTATGGGCTCAAAATGTGGTCATAAATATTTTGTACTTGTAAATCAGGATTTGTATGTGTGAAAAAGATTTGTGTGCGTGTGTGTGTGTGTGTGTGTGTGTGTGTGTAAAAAAGATTTCTATGTGTACAAAGAATTTTTTTTGCCCTCTACTGCTGAGTCTGTCAGTCTGATCCACAACTTGTCATCTTCATTCATGATGTTTCTCAATCTTCTCTCCAGAAATGTCTGAACAGAAACAGTTGAGGAAATGACCTCACTGGAAATATCTGTGTAGGTTCTGAGTCACACAGGTCGTGGTAGAAGCAAGCTTAGTTTAGGTTAAATTTAGGACATTTTTTAAACTCCAGTCTCTTTCTTCCCGAGCTCCTTGTTGGATTTTTCTGTGCTGAGATGATGAAACATAACAATGTGATTTAATGCATAAGAACATGAACCCTCATGCTGGTTCATGTTCGGCTCAACATTTAGCTCTACATTAATCTCTGCTTTATTAGAAGTTCAGTAAGATTCTTGTTACAGAAACTTAACAAAATTAAAATAACAAAACTCTTTCAAATTATGTAAAAATGCTCTATTTAATTTATCAATGACTTAATAAGTTGTATTTTCTAATAAATTTGGTGCTGTAACAGAAATTCCCCAACTTATATTATAATGTTGATCAAAAACACTAAAGAAATGTGAATACTGTACAAGTTTACAGTTTTTTATTTACAGCTTTATTTTTGAGACCTTCCAATTGTTTTAATGTTTCTTTGTGTCTCATGTGTTTAAATGCTGATTAATAAATTTAATAAACAAAGATTTTGTTAATTACAACATAATAAAACAAAAGGATCTTAGAACAGCATTGGAAAAAAGTGATACGATGATCAGCTGGAACTTAAAATAAATAAATAATGAGACATTTTTTCTGTCCTCTCTTCTCTATGGTCGAGGTTTAGAATTACAGATGTGTTTAGCAGATTAGACAGTGGGTTTTTTGCCACTATTTGAATTATCAAATAATTCATTAGTAATAATTAATTTATTAATGTATAAATGAATAAAAGACAAAGTAATTTCAAACTAAAGAAGTATAATAAATGTATAATAAACTAAAGTGATTTGGAAATGAATTTACTGAAACATATTTTATTCATTTATCTTTATTCATTATTAAATCTTAAAATGCTTTATTTTAATGTGCATGATCTTGCAGTCATCTGTATAAAGGTACAGTATCTACAGGTCTGAATGTCTATGGGCAGAACTTTGTGCCAGACCTGGAAGCGCCCTCTTGTGGTGTAACTTAGGATCGCACTCCACTTAAAATTAAAAATACACTTGAAATCTTAAAATTAAGATCCTTCTTTAACAATTGCTCAATTGATTAATATCTATTAATAATATGTAATGATATCTAATGATTTATAATTTATTGCTGATTTTGCTTCAGATCCTGGATGCCCCCCTCCCCCCGCAAAAAAAAGCGGGTTAACACAAGAAGCCGACAGGATTTTACAACAACAGCAAATGTTCTGTTGCTCATTTAATTTCTTGTCATTCAAACACACATTTGAAAAAAGAAAAAAACAACAGCAGCACCACACTGTCAGAGGTTTTTCAGGAGTCACAGATGTGAGAGTTAAGAAATGTGTATCATTTACCACATTTACAAACAGCTTCTCACACTGAAAACTCTGAGAACCACAGCCTCCTTTTCTTGTACTGGATGAATCGATGTTAAATGTTGCATTCCTATTTTTAATAACACTGACGTGAATTACTTATTCCATTGTAACACTTCACGTCTTTCTTTCTTCGTTCCTTTCTTTTTCCTGTAAAAGTGATAATAAATAATTCATAGGTTCTTCTGTTATATGATGTACTCATTGATTCAGTATCCCAAATACGTTTTAACTTTCTAGATGGCTTTAAGTTTACAAAACAGGATAATTTATTATTTTATTATAAAAATTAATGAATTTCACAGGTGCTCCCACATTTCTTGTTCGTGTTAATCGCTTCAAAACTAAAAAGTATCAGATGCAAAATATTACTCATGTTGATTTTACTGTGTTCATTTTGTTTCTGTTTGTGGCATTATTTTAATAATTGCATCACTTCATCCTGGTGTTTCATATGTGAATTTCAGTCACATACTTTTTTAAACTTTCCTCTTACTCCTGCTTTCTCACAAATACTTCTGTGAGGCATTGAGCAAAATGCATCAAACCAACACTTCAGATCATCAGCTCCGCCTTTTTCTCCCATCCTCGCACAGTCCTCTCCATCAGGATGATGTTCACCTTTCCAATTGTCTGGCTCATTGTTGCTCCAAAACGTCAAACTAAGAGTTGAAGAACAAAAATAACTGGTTTAGTAAAAACTGATAACTTTAATTCTGGAAATGAAAAAAATATATTTTCACAACAAACAAACCTTTGATGCAGTGGTGATCTGTCCACCCACACCCATCTGCCCTCTACTGCTGAGTCTGTCAGTCCGATCCAGAACTTGTCCTCATCCTCAGTCATTACAACTCTCAGTCTTCTCTCCAGGAACCTCTGATCAGGAAAAGAAGATGAAAATGACTTTGTTAGTCTTTTCTGTGCTGAGAAGGTGAAACATAAAGATGTGATATAACATGTAAGAACATGAACCTGCAGCAGTGTTTCATACCTGCTCCTCTCTGCTGTCTATCTTAACCAGGTTTCCTCTTTTAGCTCTACACTCATCTCTGCTCTGTTCCCAGGATGATTTACTGGTGGAGAAGTAATAGCACTTTCCTCCATGTTGCTCCCAGCCTTCTTCACATTTATAACAAGGATCATCTTTGAAGAGATTACAGCAACGACTTCAGTCAGGTGGAAGAAATCACTGTTCATGTTTGTGTGAGCTTAGCTTGAAGTTTGTGTCTCAGAGACAAAATCCATAACTTACCTATTACTTTAGGTACTGGACAGGTCGGCTGCACCGTGCTGCATGGTTTTATCTTAGAGAGAGTCTCTGTTAGAATAAAGAATAAAACAGTCATCAGTCATTCATCAGGAATGTCTGACCAAATATCAAAGTGTATCTTAAATATTCTTACTTGTGAGATTATTATCACACTTCATTTTGTCATCTTCCAGATATTTGACCTTCTTGTTAGTTTTAATTATTTCAAATGCTGATTTAAAAAAGATCAAACAAATACATCAGTCAGTAAACATTTTTCTTTACACTGAAAACATTCTTATAGCTCTGAAAATGTAAAAGACAGTATTTGGGGGAAACATTAAACAGAAGCATTATTCTTCTTAACATTACTTAAAATAATTGATTTTACTTTAAGTCTTATTAAATTCTAATGTTAACTCACTGGTAAAACACAGAGCAATGAGAGCAGCTGCCAGGAGAACACCGAGAACCACCAGGACCACTCTCTCTGAGGTGACCTTTGACCCTTTCCTCACCACAGCTTGTTGAGGATCCTCTGAATAGTGAGAAAAGGAAACACGTTAGAGATGTGGTGTAAATGTGGTTGAGAATTTTATTGAGCTAGATTTTAGATGTTAATGTTCTCACTGTATTTGTACAAAGAACACGATTCACTGGCTCGTTCTTCGAGCACAGAATCACAGATTTAAAACACACCAACCTCAAAGGTAAACATATGACTTATAAGCAAGACAAACAATAACGTATTTGACTGAACCGTATATTCATTGCACATTCCTGTCTTTAAAAATACTGGACAGGGGGGCGAGGGTACCTGGACCCGGGGTATAGAGTATGTTTGGGGGAGTGTGATTGTGTGTACATGTCCATTTATGTCAATCCTTACGTTGGGTGAGTGCTGAGTGTTTGTATATGTGTGCATGAGGGTGGGAATGCATGTTTGTGTCTGTGTGTGCCTGTTTGTCTGTGTCTATATGTCAGGTTGGGTCTTAGACTCCACCTCTCTGGGAACTCCCAGGCCCTCCAAAGGCCTATCTCCCCTCACCACACTCCCTGCCGGTGACTGATGCCCTTAGGGGTCGGTGCATTGGTGGTTCTTGGTGTCCGGGGCTGGGCACTCAGGTATGTACCGGCTCACTCCCGGTGACTACCTGGCGGGGCCTGGTGCCTGTTGCTCGGTCAGGCCTCCTCCGGGGTGCGGGGGGCCCTCGGACCTCCAGCCTCTGGGCCTGCGGCTCGGTTCACTCTGGCACAGCTGGCTGCCAGCAGAGCCGGCGGGCACGCCGGTGCAGCCACCTCTAGCTTCTGCTCGGTGGCTACTGGGTGACACCTCGTCTGGGGATCCTCAGCCCTTCCCATGAGGGTGGCACGGATGCCCCTCCAGTGGTCCTCCTTGGGCTCTCGCACTCTGGGGCCTCTGGATGTCTGGGGCCTGGATCTCCTCTATGCCTGCTTCATGCCCTGGGGCTATGGCTCGCTACATCCTCTTGCAGACCATTACATGTGGAAACCATTTGAATACAAGCAAGCTGATCCACACAGGTATGCACACGGGTGTTCACTGTTCATAGACTTAAATTACACCTTTCTTGGCTGCTACTTCAAAGCACAATGTGCGCTGTCTGTCCTGCGTGCTGCACAACAACATTGAATATTTAGTATTTATTGTTGTTTACACTTAGCTAGATTAATGCGATGGTGTTGTGTTTAGTATGTTGCTTTGTTTTTTTGTTTTTTGCTTGTTTTCTCTTCTTCTTCTCTCAACAGGTGATCCAGGAGATTTTTTTTCTCCCCCCCTTTCTCACTGTCCCTCTCCCCTTCTGTTTTTCTTTTCCTTCCTCTTTCTCTCTCCCTTTCCTATCCCTCACTCATGTCTGTCCCATCTGTAACATCTGAAAATAAAATATAAATATATATATAAATAATAAAAACAAAGGTCGATCAAATGGACCAATACGGCAATGCCACGATGATCCATTTGGCAAAGTAAATCCATTGGGTATCCTTGTTGGTCTTCAGACAACAATTCTGATGGCTAAAGAACCAAATGGGACAGGCAAAAAAAAAAAAATACTGGACAGGATGACGTTGTAAAGTGCAGGTCAACCTTCCAAAGACAGCGCGTAAGAGAGATGAAGAAAAGAGTGCAGGCAGATGAGTATGACAACTCAGGTCGAGTGGTTTAGAGACAAAGTTAGAGAGGTGAGGCTGAGATGGTTTGGACATGTGCAGAGAAGCAACAGTGGTTAAAGTGGACAAAGGATGTTGAAGATGGAGCTGCCAATAAGAATGACCACAGAGAAGATACATGGATGTTGTAAAAGGAGGATGCTAGCAATACGCCCCCTGTCATCACCCCCTAAAGGAAGCAGTCGAAAAAAGATGAAGATTAAGGAGAACGCTGGCTTTGCATTAATTACAGCATCAAAGAAATATATATTTGTTATCCTGAGTGCTTATGTGGAGAGAATTAGGACAAAATCTTTAGCCGGGAATAAACACATATCAGCAGTTTGCATGAAATAATTTTAAAGGAAATTATTTAACCTTATGAAATTTAGTGTACAATAAATAACATGTCAGTAAGAGGAAGTAGGACTTTTAGTAAAGAAGATCTTTTGTACTGCAGATGCCTGATGAGCTATTTCCCAGGCAACTGTATTCTCATACTTGTAAACTTCACAAACATGTTTGTAACAAGCCTGAAAAATGAAGGAGATGCTTCTTACATGGTTAAAGGTGTAAGAGAGTGCATTTTAACCCAGAGTATGTCCTTTTACTCAACTAACCCCGTAAAGTTTTATTGTCAATATACATCTAACCAAACGGTGGATGAGGACAACAGTTACAAGTCAAAAATATACTGGTAAACTAATTAAAACAAAAATGATATGAAAACTAATCTCCTGGATGAAACTGTGCATCCACTAACTGTCTTATGTGGACTACAAATAAGGAAAAATAAAAAATAATGTTAACAATGTTTAACAATTTTAATTTTTTTAAAAATGAAGTAGAGAGTGAGGAGGAACCGAGGGACAAAGAAAAACGGGTTGCATGGAGCTACAAGTTTCGTTTAGATAAATGAGCAGAGTGTCTGGTCAGAGTCGGTCTTTTGGGGACTAAAATTGACCAATTTTATGCAAATGATCTTTTAGCAGAGAACTGCTCCTCGAGACAACCTCAAGCTCAGCACCGTAGTTCCTCTTCTGCAATAAGACGGACCAGTGGTTTCAGAGAAATGTAAAGAAACTGCATCGACATTAACATGCATGCACACACAGAGAAACTAATTTATTTAAAGGAACCACTCCTTCAGAACCACTTCCTCATTTTTTAATTAACTTTTACGTCTCTTTATAATTTCCTCAGTATAAACAAAAAAAGAAACCCCAAATTTTTTTTAAAAAATGGGGAAACTTGTAAATGAGACACTTAAAAAAACGAGTGGGTCTGATGTTGTCAAATTTAATTTACATTAAATTTAGAATAAAGTGTGGTGACAACTCAACTACAATTTTGTTTTTGTTCTTTAATAATTTTATTTCAGCTACTTTTTATACTGACAGCCTCTGTGGTGCAGTGATGTCTATCATTTATCTCATATTCATCATTGTCATCTTTTTGTCTTAAGTACTACTGTAAAAGTTTGGTGTGTTTATGTGTTGCACACATTTTGACCTTCTTTTTAAAATTTACATAAAGCTACAATTTTGGAACAAATGTTCTGCTTTTTTTCTTTTTACTGATTTAGGTGGATGTTTTGTTTTCAACGACAGAGCTCTGTTTGACCAAAAAACACATTTCTGCTTTATTTTAGGAAAAAGTGCTTCCTCTGTTGTCTGTTTACTTAATAACAGACACTAACTGGAGCTCACAGTTAATCCTCCTGTTTATTAATTACTGCTGTTTTCCTACCAGACAGCTCTGCTGTGGATGGCTGAGTCTTTGAGATCTTGATTTCAGAGTAAGTCGAGTCAGTCGATGTGGTAACGGCCTCTGTAATGAAAGATGAAACCGGATTGTTGCACAGCTACCACTGAAAATGGCTGCCAATAAAATGAGCGGCTGTAAAATAAATCACTGTATTCACATTACACTCACACCTAAGATGTAATACAAACAGCTTTTCAGAGATTCTTTTAGGAATCTTCTACATGTAGTAAGATGACTAGATAAGTCTCACCATTGGCTCTCTTTTTTCCTCTTGCAAGCTTCACATCGGAGTATACTACCTCAGCTTCAGGCATTTTGCTGTGTGTGTGTGTGGCTGCTGTGTATTAGCAGTTCTAAAAGAGAAGTTTAACAGCATACAGACCAAAAAAAACTTCCTCACAAGAACCCACCCAAATCTCTTCTTTTTGTTAACTTGTGGTAATTTACTTCCTGTTTTGGCGGGATAAAATGAAGTAATCTTCCATTTCAGCTCTGTGATGAATGTGCCATAAAACATCCAGTTTCACAGGAAGGTCACACACACATATATATATATATATATATATGTGTGTGTGTGTGTGTGTGTGTGTGTGTGTGTGTGTGTGTGTGTGTGTGTGTGTGACCTGTGAAGCTAGAGTGGCTATTTATTGCACACATTTTGTCCTTCTTTTTTAAATTTTATTACAGACAGAAATTGTTTTGGAACATATAAAATTATTTGTTCTACATTTTGTTTTCATTTTGCTGATTCTGTCGCATGTTTTGTTTCCAATGCTCGTGTCTTAAATACACATTTTGTGTTACAGCCTTTTTCCAAAATGCATTAAATTCCTTTTCACCTCAAAATTCTACACAATTTTATACAGTTGTCAGCCAGGCATCTAACTATGAAAGAATTACACTCCAAAAGACCCCGGGCTTCTGAAAAAACAACCTGGGCTTAAGCCCAGTAAGCCACCCCCCGCTCCGCCACTACCTTGTTCGCTCTGACAGAGCTCCAGCATTAATCTGTGGATAGCGGAGAAAGTTCCAGAAGGACAACCATTTCTAAACTTCACCATTCAGGCCTGTGTGGTAGAAGAAAGACAATTTTCATTAAAAGGCACATGACAGCCTGGCCGAAATCGCCCAAAAATAGTTGTGCCAAGATTGTGAAATAATTCTCAAAAAGAACTGAGGATGTATTTGCTTCCAAAGATGCTTTAACAAATTATTGAACAAAGGCTGAGAACACTTATACAAATGTTTTGTTGTTGTTTTTTTACCTTTTTTTTTCAAGAATTTTAAGCAAAAGTTTGATATAGGGCATAAGTTACAGCCTAGATCAGATGCAGAAGTATAATTCACGTGTTGAACGTTTTTTTGGCAGTTTTATTTATACAGCACCAAAAGTTGCACCAACTGTTGCCTAAATACACTTTATACTGTGAGGTAAAGACCCTGCAGAAACACAAAGAAAATCCCAAAAATCAGATGACCCTATATGAGCAAGCACTTGGTGTCAGTGGGAAGGAAAAACTCCCTCTTAACAGGAAGAATCCTTTAGCAGAACCAAGCCCATGAAGGGGCTGCCATCTGCCACGACTGGTTGGGGTGATCAGAGACACTCCTCATCTCTATGTGTTAGCCCTTTGACAGATTGCAACCTTTCCAGGGTGTACCCTGCTTCACACTATGTGGCAACTGGGATATGCCCCAGCAACACTGGATTGGTTAAGAAGAGGATGGTCGGATAAATTATGGAATAATATATTGATATATTAATTATTGTTGTTAAAAGTTTTAACAGTGAACATTTGTGTAAACTTTATGTCAATTTAGTCACAAAAATCAGTAATTCAATTTTAAAATACCATTAAACAATACTATACTAATTATATATTTTAAAAAAACAATCCGCAAAACAAAAGGAAATGTTTAATTATGAAGGATAAAACAAATAAATGTGTAACCTTTATTTTATGTGGCACTCTAGTGTTCATTCTGGTAAGTTTTTTTTTAATTCAACGTCAGTTTCAAGTAACTATGATACTTTTCTGTTGTTGTTTTTTCTGCTTTGTTTATTTGTTTTACAAATTGGCATTTTCTATTGAAGCCCTGTTCGTAAGTTACACAAGGTGTTTTACGAATTCTATCCAATCAGCTGGCACAGGTAGCGATAGACAGAGCCCTGAGCAAGTCATTCAGCTGTTCTGGTGATAGAGCAGTCTGACAGCCAATCAAGCGCACTAGTCTAAGGGGCGGGGTTTATGCATTGTAGCGGAAGAGAATGCGGCGGTCCTTCCTTTTCTAGCCAACTTGGCTGAAGTCTACCCAGGACTACACCAACGGACTTTATTAAAGTTTCTGCCGCGGTGCCCCCCCAGGTCCTGACATGGCCCCCAGCACGCAGCTGAAGGAGGCGATAGCCGATGTGCAGGACGGCATTCGTGCCATCCTTCTTGGACCTCCTGGAGCTGGGAAGGGGACTCAGGTGAGAGCAGAAATATCCAGACGAGCTAATGAGCTAGCATTAGCTGTTAGCGGCTAGCCTGAAATATAAGTAGTGTATTCTAGGCGCATGGTCGGCGCTAATGCTAGCCTGCCAGGCTTTAGAGCCAGCTGTCAGTCTCTTTATCTCTAGGTATATGTTCTAATCCTCTATGTAATAATAAAATTTACTCTCACAACGACCCCGTTAATGTCTGAGTTTCTGAGAAATTTCAATGCATTATCTGCTTTTAGCTTCACAGTGAAGTGCATACCGAAACCTCTACCAGCCAAATTTGTTACAGCTATTTTAATGTGTTTGTCTTTTTTTTTTTTCTGTTGGTGCTATTTCGAAATAAGTTTAATACTGGACTCCTTCCAAAAGCAGTTTATACATTTGTTATTATAAATTGAGTATATTGTGCTGTTTACAGGCTACAGAAGCATAAAATTGTTTTAAGTTCACAACTGAAAAACTTTTTATATGATATATGAAGCAGCAGGAAAAGTACAAACCCATATTTATAAAAACCTGCTGATTCAGTTTAATACCTTGTTATTAAAATTAGTTTGCCTATTGTTTCTCCTTAAAAACCCGGAGCATCTGTGGTTTATTTTAAATAACGTGTTGTTGTTGACTGGTGAATTGTTCACAATAATGTTGAAAACAGTTCTTGATATTTACATGTAAATATTTTCTTTTGACTGTATTTATTGTTGTAAAATTGTGGTGAAAATAAATCATTTAGTTTCATATTCCTTAATTAAATGATCAATAAAAATATTTACCAGGTAAGACAGTTGCCTTTTTTATTTTTAACTTTATCATTCAGAATAGTACTCCATTTCTAATTTTTTCAGATTTTACTAAATCATCTTTACATATAAATACATCAGTTGTAAATTAGAAACAATAGCCAACATTCAGTACTTGAGAAACCTCCCAGGAGCCTGCAACCAGAGCTGCAGCAGTCATACAGAAATACTAGTGTGGAGAAAACTCAGATGGAAGTCTGAGAAGACCAGTTGCATATCAGTGGGTTTTTCTTAGAATTATATTGTGCAAAACTGGAATTTCTTCAGCATTTCATTGGCATGTAAGGCTCCAGTGTCGCAGTTACATAACTCTGTAGGATTTCTGTTGCAGCTGTGTAGAGCGCTGAAACCCAGATGTCTGTCTCAGTGTGACCTTCGTCGTTGTGTCCTGCGGTTCACTGTGCAGTCCTCTCTGCTCAGGCACATGGACGTGTCTGATAGCACAGACACGTGCTGTCAGAATAGATCCATGTGTTTGCTCTCTGATTTGTTTAGTGTTGTCATTTGTTTTGAGTGCTTTGTTTACCCAAAAGCACTCTGTTGCAAACCCCGTTTTAGTATCACCGATATTGGAGCGATCAAATGTTTTAAATAAAGCTTCAGCGTCAATTTTATTTCTATAACACGTTTCGTTACATGTACACTCAGTGTGCTTACCAAAAGAGATTAAAGGTTCGCAATGCATTAAGAGAATTTAAAAAAACAACAACACAGAGTTAAAACACAGCGTTATGTGAAAATAAAAAGGAAAATGATTAATTATGTTGTGCACAAGCAGGAATGATAGTTGTTGGTTCTGGCTCATTTAAAAATGTAATTTATTTTTTTTTCTTCAGGATATGTCAAGATTCCCTCAATTATCAATTTTTACTAAATGAATAATCAATAGTATGAATCGGTCAGTGGTGAAAATAATTGTTAGCTGGAGATGTTGAAGTATTGGACATTGCTGGCATCTATGCAGCATATGCTCTACTGCAGTTGAGGCCTTGTCTAAATGAATTAAGCTCACCTTTGTTGGTTAAGGATCTTCACTCTGTTATGATTTTAATGAGCTTATATAAATTATAACCTTTGACTTCATTAGTTGCAACATATAAAGAGAATGTCTTCTAATCTTTAATCCTCAGATGAGTTGAAAAAGTGAAAGCTACGCCGTCTAGAAGGTCGAGAGCTCCACAGATCAGTCTGTGGTGCTGAAAACTTTCTTTTCAGAGCCTTATGCTCAGAAACCTACATCATGGTTTTATTTGTCAGTGGTGCAGGAAGTATTTGTTCATCAGTGTTTAGGTCAACAGCCAAATATTTCCTTCAGTTGGTGTTTGGTAGTGATGAATAGTAGTTCCATATTAAAAAACACTCTCTCCCCTGCAGGCCCCTCGGCTAGCAGAGAAATACTGCGTTTGCCACCTGGCTACTGGAGACATGCTGAGGGCCATGGTGGCTTCAGGCTCCGAGCTCGGCAAGAGGCTTAAGGAGACGATGGATTCTGGCAAACTGGTAACTGCTCTTCTATTCATGATCTCTCTATAAACTTTTCTTCCTGTCCCTTTGTCTCCTCTGAGGTTTTTATTGACTTTGCAGCTCGTCATCCCGAGTCTTTGATGACATCTCATGTTTTCCTTATATTACAATTACTTGCTTCCTTCCTTTTCTGCAGTGATGGTTCCAATAGAGTTTATTAAAACCACATAACTGTATCAACAATAATGCTAAAACAAAACTAATGGTGCGTTCACACCTAACGTGATAGACACGACCAGAACGTCAGGTATACAAAGTCAATGGAGGAGCATGATTGTGACTGTGGGTCCTGCCGAAATTCAGAAGCAGATTTGCGTCGCGAAAAAGCAACTGACGCGTTTGAAGCGCGAATAAAAATATGCATGGCAGTTTGTGTGGTGCATTTTGTGCATTCGCGCGTATCGCGCTCGAATTGGGAAGATCTGAACTCCAGTGTCAAGTTGCGCCGCGACAACCAATCAGGAACCTGGTGATGTGATTCTCTGACCTAGTTCAAAGGGGCAGGTCCAGCCAAAGCCCTTCATTCAATATG